ACTCCCGCCGCGACCCCCGTCGAGCACGCACTCCATCCGGTGGAGGCTGCGTCCCGCCAGGGTCCTGGCGCCCTGGTGCCTGCCGGGGGTGTTCTCTTGCACCCTCGCGCAAGGCGCCCTGGGCGTGCGCGTCTGACTCAGGGCCCCCCTTTCTGCGCCGCGTAGCCCTAGAACAGGAGGATCGGGTCCCGAAAGGGGCTGGGGGCGTGCGACAGCGAGAGACCCTGGTGGCCTCCTGGCCGCGGGACCCGTCGGGGCGACCAGGCGGCGCCGCGGAGCTGGCGGAGCGCGCCAAGTTTCCGACGCCTGCCCGCGAGCTCCAAAAACATGAAGGTTTGGGCGGGCTGATGTGGGAATGAATCACCCTGTCGCGCCCTGGTGCGGTGACCAAAAGGGCCTGTGGGGCCCGCCCGGCCCGGAGGGACAGAGGCGGCTCCGCCCTGACTGTCCAGGCCAGGGTCCGGCCCGCCAGCAACCGCTTGTGCGGATGCCTCTCGCGAGCCGGCCAAGGTATGTCGTTGCTTAAAAATAACCAGCTCCTTGTCTACCTCGCTCCCTGGCAGCGAGTCGTCCTCCACCCCGGGAAATGGAGCCACGCCCGAGGAGTACCCGGCCCTCGCCGACAGCCCCACCACGCTCACCGAGGCCCTCCAGATGATCCGCCCCATCCCCGCCGACTCCTGGAGAAACCTCATCGAACAAATAGGTGGGTGTCCCGGCGCAGGCAGGGCTGCATGCGAGAATGTGGACCCCTGGTGGCCCCAGGGGGTCCCCCACCCCGTGGGACCCTGGAGTGTTCAGTGTGGGCCAGCGCGTCTCCATGGGTAAGGAGCAGTTCCCACCTCTCCGCTTCTAACCGATCCCCTGCGTTTTCATAGTGCTGGGCCTTGGCAAATGGGTTTCTTTCCTGCTTTCTCATGAGACGTCTTGTTACTTCTGCCAGAAAGACCCTGGCTGGGGGTTAGCAGGGGCTGCTGGCCATGCCACAGAGGACTCCCAGCGCTCTCCTGGAGGGGCCTGGGAAAGACCTGGAGCTAAACATGCGGGTAGCAGAGCTGGAACTAAAGAGGGAAGCCTGGGGAGAGGCCGTCCTGGCTCAGCCAGGCTGGCCACCCCCGTTGAGGTGGGGCAGGATGGGTGGTAAAGTGCAGAGGCCCTGCCTAGGAGGGGACACCCAGCACCGAGCCAGAAAGGGCGGCCAGGCGCAGCTGTCTCAGTGCCCGGTTGCAGAAGCCCGGGAGTGCGGGGTGGAGAGATGGTGTCCCTAGACCTCAAGTCACTAGTGACATTGAACTCCTGATGGGCCCCGTGTCATCACTGGGGCACCGGTGAGTGGGCAACGTGAGTTCCATTTCTGAACATTGTACTGGCTGCTCAGAAAAGCTTTCTGTCCCTCCATGTCAGAGCCCCAGCGGCCTATTTATTAAACACAGATCCTACGTTGAAAACATCTTTCCTCCACGTGTAATTATGGCCCTCAGTCCCAAACACTTGGGCAGACAGGAAGTGTCCCCAGGATGGAAGTGGGGCTTCTGCTGCCATAGGAGACCTGGAGCTTAGGCGACGTTTGGGGGCCATCCCACTCATCCCTGGCAGGGATCTTTCTAAACCAAAGCCCAGAGCTGCTGAGTGGAGCTGAGCCCTTGCAAAGCTGAGGGGGTGGCGCGTGCTGCAGGCTGTGAAGCTGTGCTGACTCCCGGAATTTCGTTCCCAGCAGTGGGCCTCTTGTGCCAGGCCCCCAGGGGGTGGCTTTTCCCTTTGTTTGTTGGGGGGAATGGGAAAGGGCTGATCTGAAACAGATGCCAGCTAGGAGAACCTTGTTTTGAAACAAAGACTCCCCAAAGCCCCTTTTTCCAGCTCTCTGCCATGTTGTCCTTCGTAGTGACAATCTGGCCTGGAAACTTCCGCTTCCATGCTCTTAAAGGGCTTCCCCATGGCTACGGTCGGTGTCATGGCTAGGAAGGGCATGGCTGGGAGGAGATTGCGCCTCCTCCTGGCGAGGTTCCCACCTGCACTGTGGGTACGGACATGTATTGGGCCAGTGGTCTAAGTGCCTAGCTGGGAGTCAGGGCCCCGAGTTGTAGTGCCTCTCATCTCAGATCTCAGCTTCCCCATCTGTGATGTTCTGAGACGTGTCTCCCCTGCCTCCCACCTCTGTCTCTGAGGGCATCATGTGAGCCTCTTTTTTGTCCTGGCTCCTGGCATGAATAGGTGCTCACGCTGGAGGAGGGCACAGGGCCGTCCCTGCCTCCGTCTCAGACCCTCATCATAGGCTGATGGTCTGTGCTGAGCAGATCCCGCCAGCCACCTGGCTGCTTTCAGAGTGCCTGTGAAGTGGTCCTTGCTGGTACTAGGACAGGACAGAAGGTTCCTGAAGGCACAGTGCAATGGAGGGGAGGAAGAGGGGCCCAACTTGGGGGCATTCTGTGGCCCGCTGCAGTGGACCCTGCATGGCTCCGACCAGGCCAGACAGAATTATGTCTGGACTACACATCCCTGCACTTGGCCGGAGCACAGTCCGTGAGACTGGTTGCTTTTGTGTGTGAGTGTGTGAGTGCGTGTGCTGCTGTTGTGGCCTCAGGCATCTAACACAATGCTTGGCACACAGAAGGTGCTCTCTGACTAACAAATGAGTTCCCTGGCCCGCAGAAGTTTCGGTTGGAAGCACTCAAAGAAAAAATCTCTTTGGAAAGAGAGTTTGAATGAGTCAAGGGGCTTTGGTAGACGGAGCTGGGCTCTGCTTCCCCCTCGACAGCGTGGCCAGCCTGCTGTAGGCTTTAACTCAGAGACAGAGCTGGGCTTGCAGTCCCACCCGCGCGATGTCACGTGCCAGGTACAGGAGAGCGGAGCAGCACAGGAAGCTGTGTTTTCCGAACGCACGGAATGGAAGCAGGAGAACAGAGTATACTAGCAGAACACTGAGCACGGAAATCTAATCAGATAAGTATCGGGTTGTCGGCAAAGTCATGATGCGCTTTTCCATAAAAATCAGAGAAAAAAATACATCGTGGCTTTTCCAACAGCCCTGTAGCTCCTCAGGTGAAACTACGCAATTCGAATTATAATCTGACTTTAAGGCAAGTATTTGAAAGGTTATAAAAACTGGTTACACAGTGTGTCAGATAACTCTGTAATTACAGTAACTCCAGGAAAATAGGTAGCTAAATTCATCTTCTACAAACCTCAGGAAAAGTACAAAATTTTTAAAAATTCTAGACTTGTGCTGAGCGTCTTTGACTGCAAGTAACAGAATACTCAGAAAAAGCGATCTTGACAGTGGAGGCGTTCTCAGTTAGTGAGTCCAAACGTGGAAGACCCAGAGCTGGTCCACTCAGCCCGTCACCCAGCTGCTTTCCCCCCCTTTCCTCCTCCATTTGGGGTCTCACGTTGCAAGATGGCTGCCATCGGTCCAGGCATCACATCCTCGAACAGCCATGTGTGGCAAAAGGAAGGGTAGAGGGCCAGCAGGTGGTGTAGTGGTTACGTCCTTGACTCCCACATGGCCTACTGAAGTTTGAGTCCCAGACCGTTGGCTTGAAATCATCCTGGGCATGTGCGCATGGGTGTCCAAGATCCAGGGAGGAGAACGAAGGAGAAGAGATTGTGGTGTGACCATCCCTTCTGGAGGGTGATGTCTTCGCTTTCCCTCTCTCTGTCTCTGTCTCTCTAGCAAAGCACTATGGCAAAAACTTCTGAAAAAAAAAAAAAAAAAGGAAGGAAGAAGAAGGGTAGTGTGTCTTCAAGTGTCTCCTGGGGAGGAACGTCTGTTTGGGAACCCCTTAAAAGATGTCCCCTCCTTCTCCTTGGTCATCGTCTCAACCCACGCCTACTTCCATAACCGAACACCTTGGACTGGCTAGTTTGTACATGGTAGAAATTGATTGCTCATGGTCTGCACACCGGCAAGCCCAGGGTCAAGGTACCAGCAAACTCAGTGTCCAGTGAGTCCTGGTGTTTGCTTCCGGGTGACACTAACTCCCTTCATGAGGGCAAGACCCTCGTGCCTTACTTCCTGCAAGGACCTTCCCCCTAATACTGTTCCCTTGGGCACGAGGCTCCCACGTGCGACCTGGGGAGCTGGGCACATGCAGACTGGCGGCCAGGCTCTGCCACTCGCCGCTGCCCGAGCCCACCCTGGCAAGCAGAGGGCAAGAATCACAGTGGGTTTCTATCAGTCCACATTCCCCCACTTTCCTGAGCAAGAGCAGGTCGCCACTCAGCAAAAGCTCTCCCACCAACTAGGAAGAAGGGGTGTCGGGGGAGGACGGGCCGCCAACAGCGTCTGCCATCCTGTGGCTTCGGAAGCAGTTTCCACCCCGAGTCCCCACGGTGCTGACATTCTCGTCTCTTTTCGGCATTTATAGCACGGTGAGATGTTCCAAATAGTATTTACCCACGACTTGCCGACTACTCCAGACCTAAGAGGTCTTTCAAACTCCACAATATTCCAGATTAGACCCTTGTGGTGCTTAGAGGCTGCCTCTGTGAGAGGCATTTGCAAACACTTGTGGGGCTCCCCTGTCGAAGGCGCCCTGCTACAGTCGCCAGTGCATCCGAGTCGGCTACGGAAACTGGCTTCTTTAAACCTCTCCGGGCACAGGAACAGCCCAGTAGCCTAGCGGGTAAGGGGGTAGGAGCCCACGTGGCCCATGCAGTTTGAATCCAGGCCTCAGCAGCTTGAAAAACATGCCAACTACGTGTGTGCCCCAAATTCCGACAGGTGAGAAAAGGGGAAGGGGCTGAGGCAGGACCACACCTACCGGTGCTGTGGAGCGCTTTCTCTCTCCCTCTCTGTCTCTCCCTGGCCAGCGTCCGCAGCCCCTGGCGATTTCAAACCAGTCTGCAAGCACAGCATCAGAATCAAGGACAGGAATTAGCTGCGGTCCAGGTAGTAGTATCCTGTGCTCATGATTAAACCCACTTACGTGTGACGGGAAAACAGGTTTCCCACACATCTTCAATCCGAGTTGCACTTATCACTTAGACTCTTAGACTTTTAGATTCCTTTGTCAGATTAACTCCATGTTGCATTCTGCTGGAGGGTAACACTGTAAAATCACAAGACCTTCGCTGCTGAAGTCGGTGCTACACTCGTGTAGCAAAAACGCTTTCTAATTCAGAGTTGTGGAGCATCAGAGGCTAGCAGATTGAATCCATAGGGCAGCTTTATTAAGACCCTGTTCATGGATAGAAATTATCTAGCACATTAAAGATTGCAAAGGTAGCCTTTTTTTTTTTCTACTCTGTGTGTGTGTGTGTGTGTGTGTGTGTGTGCGTGCGTTTAATTTTCATTGCCAGAGAGAGAGAGCTGGGGAGAGAGGGAGAAAGCACCCCCAGTGGGCATGGTCATGCCTCAGTCCTTTCTCCGTTTCTCCATCCCGTCAGAATTTGTGACGTGCATGCACATGCACCTGGTACGTTTTTCACGCCGCTGGGGCTGGGATTTGAACTGGTGGTTGGTCATGCAGGATCCAGCTCCTTTAACCACTAGGCTATGGGGGCTGGCCCTAGAAAACATGTAACAACTGGGTGAAGAAAGGATAGTCATCAGGGTGCACACTCCATCGTGAGAGTGAGCGCTTTACAAGTGGGACGTCTTTCTGTACTGTAACTTTCCAGGTAGAATCAATTTTTTTTCATAGAAAGACAGACCAAGAGGCTCAGGCCACTCTCCCCAGCCCCAGAGCAGAGTGTCCAGCTGCCTTCCGGCCTCTCCACCTGGTGCCCCAGGCAAAATCGAGACCGCGCCGACACCCCACCCTCTGGCCAGGCTTCTGGTCATGTTCCTTGTCTCCAAAATGGTGCACCTGGATGTCATTCACGACCTAGTGCAGCCAGTCCCCCAGGCCAGTCCTCTGCCATAATCACCACCACTTGGATTCAGGGTTCAGGGCTCTGTGGTGGTTCTCCTGGGAATTGCCACCCCCCTTTCTTCCCAGCCCTGGTTCTCCTAGAAGGCAGATGAGAATGTGCTTGCCTCAGGTCTCCCAGGGCCTCCCCCATGCCCCAGAGATAGACGCCCGGCTTGTGGGACCCCACACAAGACCCTTGAGGTCTGACCACCTGTCTTCCCACCCTATGGCAGCAGAAAGGCCCCCTCCACACCCCCATGGCTTCCTGCGTGTGGAGGAGCCCCTCTACCTGCAGCCAGTGCCTGGGGAGTGGGCCTGTCCCTGTGATAGCGCAGCTCCGCTGTTCGCATGCTCCACAGCGCCTCTGAGACCTGGAATACCGATACTTCAAGTGCAGTCGGTCAGGGGAGTGAGCCTGAAGCCATCCAAGCAAAAACGAATGTTTCCCTCAGGAATCATGAGCCTGATGAAATATCGATTTTTCCTTCAGAATGAGAATCGCAGCTGCTCCCATCTCACAAATGAATATGCTCGAGTTTTAATATTGACACGTTTAAGTCTGCGGAAAGTGTCCTGCCGGGGCAGGGACAGAACTGGGACCACTCCACCAGCTTTGTACACACGCCTGTGTGTGAACACGCCAAGTCCTGGGTCTTTGTCGGCCAGGCCCGGGGGGAAGCGCATCCCTGTGTGGTGGGAATTGTTCAGGGGTTTCTTTATTTGTTGGGGAAACCTTACACATGCCTTACACGCCCAAGAAACAGGGACGACGGGGTCCCTTCTGAGGTGTTGGGACCCGGTGCCAGCTGGCTCTCTGTGTGCTCACAGGCAGAGCGCCCACTGGCGACAAGAACATGAAGCCCTGACCTTGCGCTCTGGAACCATCTTCCTCCAAACTCTTCCTCTTTTCTTCCCCACACGTCTGTTGATTTCAGGGCTCTTGTATCAGGAATATAGAGATAAGTCAACTCTGCAAGAAATTGAAACCAGGAGGCAACAAGATGCAGAGATCCAAGGCAGTGATGGGTCCCCAGCCAGCGAGGACACTCCGGAGGAGGAGGAAGAAGAGGAGGAGGAGCTGCCCAGCCCACCTGAGAGGAAGGCTCTGCCCCAGATCTGCCTGCTCAGTAACCCCCACTCGAGGTTCAACCTCTGGCAGGATCTTCCTGAGATTCAGAGCAGTGGAGTGCTGGAGATTCTGCAGCCAGAGGAGATCAGGCTGCAGGAGGTAGGTCGGCCAGGGCGGGGCTTCCACTATAAGGGTGCAGGTGCTCACTGACCTGCCCGGGGCTGGTCGGGGGCGGGACTTCCCACTCTAAGCCAACAGGTGCTGACTTCCCAGTACAGGAATGGCCGGGGCGGGCCTCCATGCTCTGAGCGCACAGGTGCCGACTGGCCTGCCCGGGCTGGCCGGGGGCGGAGCTGTCATGCAGAGTGTTCGGGTGCCTACTTACATGATGGGGAGAGGCTTCCTCGAGAGGGGGAGGTTC